TTCCTTAATGCTCTTTCCTGTTTCAGTTTTCTTTCCTGCAATTTCGCCTCCCATTATAACCGCTTCTACTTTAGTGCCCTTTCATGTTCGAAATGCTTCTCTTTTCGCAACATTTCTTCCTCTAATCGTTGACATTTTGCTTGCCTTTGCGACTCACCAGGTTTATCGGTGCCATCGGTCGTACACGAACTTTTATTCACCTTTTTGCCGGTGCACTTGGGACAAATAAAGTTCCGGTCCGCCGCTCCCGGAGATTCTCCTACACATTCCAGATGGTACCAGCCCTCGCAATGATAACAATCGACCATGTCATCGTTGTCAGGCTGATCGCACTTTTCGCAACATTGATCCATCTCAAAAGTGGGGTTATAACCTTTTGAGAAATTTTCGGATCGTTTGGCACGAAGAAAACCTAAACTCGTGTGTGTACAAATCAAACTGTAATAATAGTCTTTATTAAAGGCAAAGAAAATTTTTTGGCATTGCTGCCGTGTGGCATTTTTTTCGCAACTTGTCATGGAAAAGGCCCTATGGGAGGAGTATTGAAACGAAACGCTTTAAAATTTGAGTATACGAAGGGAAAGGTAGGATCTGCAATGTTTAAAACTTGGTCTACGTGGTTTATGGGCGGCCCGCAGGTTGAACTGAATGTTGCACCCAGCTTGTAAGTTACTCATAGATTTCATTAGTCACAGCTGCTGTGACTCGATGGAGACGCTTTGTGAACTACCTTGCGTCTTCATCGTTTCCATGCACGTGTGGTGCATATATTGCGGAACAATAATTTTTTATTTTAAAAAAATTGTATCTCCAAAACTGCTTCTCCGACATCGCTAATTTTTGATATGTTATGTAAAATTAAATGATCTTTCAATTAAAAATACTAAAATAAGAAGTTGTTGAAGACCCTCGCAGTGAAAATCAAGAAAAAGCATTTGTAACATATTTTTTTCCTACAAAATCAAATATCTCTGAGTGTTTCATAATTTTTCTTAAAACTACATTAAAACATCTTTCATTTGAAGGGTCAATCGTAAGAGGTTCAGAAGTTATAAATTTTTGAAAAAAGACATTTAAAAAAAAAATGGTTTTTTGGACCACCCTAACACGGAAATGGTCACCCTAATGGCGCAATAAAAAAATACGAGTCTAATATTTTTTGATAAGGAAGAACTATACCAATTTTCATGAAATTCTGAGACCCACTATAACTTTTTTCTATGGAATTGCTGTATATAGATACATAGTATAATTGAAGGATCTCACCAAATATTCCCAAAATTCCTAATGTATAGATAAAAATGGAATGATCTCACCAAAACTGGTCTGCTTGGATGTGATCATCCACTTTCCGGACTTCTATATTCCACGATTTTCTTCAGTAGCCATTTAGCTGTCGCTTGCACGAACAATTATTTTTAATTACCTTTCATTTAATATTTTGATCTTTGAAATCAACCAAAAAGTTCAAAAGTTATGAATTTTTGAAAAAGTCCTTTTTGAAAAAAAAAAATATTGTTTTGGACCACTCTAACTTGGAAATGGTCTCCCAAATGACAGAATAAAAAAAAATCAGGTCAAACATTTTTCGATAAGGAACAAAACTACCAAATTTTAGTAAATTCTGAGAACCACTATATGGTTTTGGTATGGAATGGCTAATATACTTTTTGAAATATTTGAGTTTTTAACACGTTGTTGAAATTTTTACTCAAAATTTCTAAAAATATAATAATACCTTGTATATTTTTGCCAGAAAGACTTTATATTTCCCTACAACTTTGTCTCAGAGCGGTGCCGGTGGTGTAGTGGTAAGCGTGATTGCCTCTCACACCAAAAGGCCTCGGTTCAATCCCAGTCGGCGCCGCCGGGATTTTCAGAGGTATAAAATCTCTGATCACGCCTTCCTTCGGAAGGGAAATAAAGCCGTTGGTCCCCGGTCTCTGAGTTGTTGTTAGGTCGATAGGTAGGGTCCAGGTGTGGGAGCTGCCTCGCTGACGTCGGTAGCATTCTCAGTACGGAAAACAAGATCGACGGAAAACAAATCAAGGAAAGAAATGTCTCAGACGTCATTTAGATCAGAAGTACAATACAAAATGACTGAATTTTTTGTAAAAATAAGAATGATTGCCCATAATACACAATTATGTAAAGTTGTATTCAAATTGGACAGTTGGATCGAGTTTTTCCGATTCGTCATTTAGAGTTGAACTGCTCATATAGAAAAAAATATCAATATGCACTTGTGCTCAGTTAGCCTCCACTTACGGTAAACGAGCGTTCATCACCTGCCTAGTAACGTTTGCATTCGATCGTAAATAGAAGAGTGCCTTTGAAGATTGCGGAAAATATTTGAATTGATATAATCAGTATTTACTTTCATCTTGAGTTAAGAGAGCTTCCCTGTTTACTCGATGAAATCACGGTTCCAGTTAAATGCGTAACAGTCTGTGAGTGCATATATTTGGTCGCTACATCCAGAGCAGGAAAGAATCGACCAGCAGACCGCAATTGAGATGATATTGCTATGTAAATAATTGAACGATAATAGAAGAATGTTTATAGTTCAAGTGTTTATTTATAGACACAAATTGTTAGTAGCCGGCTCTGGTTCTCTCTGCTCTCTGCAACTTCCACGTAGATAACTGGGCTTGGGCACAGTGTATCGCTCCCTCGGGATGCGATAAAGTTGCTGCATTTCGACTTGGGTCACATTTATAGGCGCGGGGATGAGCCGAGCCCTGAGGGAATTTAAGCTCTTGTCTATCTTACTGCGGCCGGTGGTGAGATCATACCCGGAGGGGTTGTTTGATTATAGACGGAGAATGGTGATTGATTGCAATCAATCGACAATCGAAAGATGTCGTGTTCTTTGGAGCGTTTGAAGTAGGTACTTCCAGTAGTGATGAAATAGTTTCCTTTACACTTGAATCCGGGAAATGTCAATGGACACTTTAGAGTGGTTGTCTACTGCGAACTTTACTAGCTGATATTTAAATATCACTTTTTGACATTTGTCGTGCACTGGTGTTCGCAAAAAAAAAAAATATATAATGTCGGATAATGTCTACATACTTATAATAGATCAACAATGTTGCCCAACTATGTGATTTCTCCTCAAAGGTTGACATTCGTGGCGTCCCGCCAGACCTTGTGTTGTTGCTCAACTGTGTGACGAAGGCAGAGAAAGCTGAAAGCTCATGTCCGAGCTTTGGCAAAAGGGAATCCTGACGAGTGCATTTTAACACCGTGTATTGTTGTATCCTCAAATCATCACGTATAGGTAGGGTGTAGAACGGATTAGGCCCTTCAAGACCCTATTTCAAGCATGGGGTAAACAACATCATTCAACGCTCATTTTTTGTAAAATGATTTATCCATATTAGAGCATCGTTTGAATAGGTTCTTGTTTATTATGCTTAGCTTATAGACTTACGTGAACATATTCAATGGCGGAAAACATATGTTCACACTTAATATTCCAAGCATGTAAATAAACAAGTCGATACGCCACCCTGAAATGAATTGCCACTACTGAAAATTGTAGCACCGAAACCAACCAACCAACCAACACTAGCCCTATAAGAGAGAGACAAACGCGAAGATAAATAAAATAACTGGCAACATGATGATATTTTTTCACACGCACTAGCAACCCTAAACGTTGTTCACACTTTGCATGACTCGTCGCATTCGACTCAGACTTGAGGTCAAAAGTTATTTAAGATACATTTACGATGATCCGTAATTTTGTACAAGACAATGAAGAAGTCTGCACATTGTAGACGAAATTCACGTATCGGCCAAGGATGAGCAAATAAGATAGTGGAATTAAATCTCTCTCTCCCGTAATTTATTTGAATCTGTTTTAATTCAACTCGTTCAAGCGGCGCCGGTGGTGTAGTGGTAAGCGTGATTGCCACTCACCCCCAAAAGGCCTGGGTTCAATCCCGCCGGGATTTTCTGAGGCATAACATCTCATAACTTCGGAAGGGAAGTAAAGCCGTTGGTCCCCGGTCCATTAGTTGATGGGTCGATAGGTAGGGTCCAGGTGTGGGAGGTACGGAAAATAAATCAAGGACTTTCAGTTAAAAGACATTTAAGGCAGGCAAAGTCTTTCAGCTAGCGAAATGCTGAAAATGATGTGAATGTGCCAAAATTGCTGGGAGTCTAATCTGGGGTAAAATGCGTAATATTTTTTTTTGATTACATCTCTCGCACGCTAAGATCAGATAACGCAAATGTAGGTTTACTTTACCCAAATTAGGCGTAAACTGCACAAACTCAGATATAGGTAAATTTTTTAACCCAAATATGGGTAAATTTAAGTCAAATTTGCATAAAAATAAATCATTTATGGTTAATAAGAACCCATATTTGGGTTAAAAAAATTACCCATATGTGAGTTTGTGCAATTTACGGCCAATCTCGGTAATCTCTTTGTACCGTCTAGGTAAACTGATCTTAGCGTGCGGGTCTCGGAGGGGCGCCTAAGCCGTTCGCAACCCTACGTGGGGACATAAAAAAGCAATCACATCGCTTGGTGGCGGGCGTATATGAGCCATGGAGCCAAGAGTATTTGCGAACGAGCGTAACGAAGTGAAGGTACTAACTATATGTACACACAAAGGTGCCTATTGAGTCAATATAAACGTTAAATCAGCCGATATGGTTTGTTTTGCGCTCTTTAGTTTTTTTGTTCGTACGTTCCTGGCCCTGTGAGGGCGCTAAGACAATTTGTAATATATGTGCTGCTTAAAGCCGCGCGTGGTTGGTGTTACGTGCGAGTCCCTTTTGAGCATTACCCATAATGTCAATCACCAGTTACAGGATACTGGAAATATTTGTTTAGCTATCGTCTTTTGTTAATTTCTTCCTGTTATTTGAAATAATTATTGGGCTTCATATGAGCACACGAATTGAAGTACTTTCTGAATTTATCATCAATGTCGTCTGATCAATAAACCTAAAATCTTATTTTCTAATCTCTTTATTTTCAGAAATCAAATCCACCAAGGTAAAAGTTCTAGTCCAAGCTCGAACTCTCATCATGCGGATCCAGAGGCCCATACCATACCACTGAATCAAGCCTACTGTTGAAGGTTATGGAAGTTTTGCAAATCATAGTTAAATCAGCAAAATTAACCAAAATATGAACCTGTGCAAAAAATGGTAACGATTGATGAAGGTTTAGAGGGCGTGTTTGGTTTGATGGAGATTATGGTGAATTACTATGTGAAATTTTGACATCACGAAATCGAGAATGAGGCATGTAACGAATATGGGCAAGTTTTCAAACGCATATTTCTCAAAACCAGTACAGGTATACCTCGATATAACGTAACTGTCACTTTTGACTTCCATCGCCGATTTCTCGCAAACGATCATTCAAACAAGCAAAGTAATATCACCATCGGACAGATGAAATAATCCCCTATTTATTGGTAATATTAATTTGTATGCTTCAATTGTCTTTAGGGAGATATTGACGATGGAAGTCAAACGTGACAGTTACGTTATATTGAGGTATACCTGTTGTGGGAAAAATGTCATGCAATACGTCATTCAACGGAGCATTCATCCAGCTATGTTTTGGCGTATAGAACAAATAGTGAAAATAGTTAAGCAATTAAGAAACTTATCGCACAAAATAGGAACATTTCGTGAACTAGTGACACCGGTGGTGTAGTGGTAAGCGTGATTGCCTCTCACCCCAAAAAGCCTGTGTTCAATCCCTGTCGGTGCCACCGGGATTTTCTGAGGTATAAAATCTCTGATCACACTTTCCTTCGGAAGGGAAGTAAAGCCGTTGGTCTCCGATCCATGAAGTTGATGAATGGAATGAAAATTATATGCAAGTATCGGTATTCATATCAGATTATCGTGCAGATTAGGAATTTGCACAGATAGCATAGCATAGCGCAGGTTGCGCAATGTCGTAGGTGGTACGAGCTCCAAACGGTTGTTAAGAAGGAGACCCACCGTCATCCGTTGTTGTTAGATAATAATTTGTGATTAATTACTACCTCTTAGATAAAGGATGTGTCTCCCTCCAACAGACCAGAGCTGTCCTGGCCACGTCCTTGCATCTGGTGGGGAAAGGGGAGGAATGTTAGTCCGACACTTACTTAAGAGAGATGCAGAGAACTCTACGAACATAAGTGTCACGGGAAGGGTGGATTTTTGTTAGTAGGGAGGGTAAGTCATAGGATACGCCCAGCCGGTGTTGCTGACAATCGTTATATCAAGCATTTAATAAATAGAAGCTGTAAGTAGTTTATCTGTCCATTGTTGCTGCCCATTACCTTAACATATTATTCAAAACAGTCTTCAGATTTTGGAATTAAGAAACGTTATCAGCTCGATCCTGTTGCTCCTTTGCGCCTGAAAATGTTTGTTGATCCTTAACATATGCACAATTCTCATGTGTAAATGGTTATTAATAGTATGTGGAATCGTAGATCAGAATGAAGATTCGCCCTTGGCCTAACTCCCCCTGTCTGGCAGTGGCATTATGGATATAATCTGCCTGCAATCATTTCTTATGAATGCAAGAAGTTTGAACCCGGGAGTTAGAAGGTGACAGCTCTACCGCAGCTGCAATAGCCCATTTTAAGAACGCAAGCATTCCGAAGCTGTTTTCACACATGATAATCCCCGCTCCAATACATTATCTATGCAAATATACACCATTGATAATGGACTGAAACTTTCAATCAAGCAGTAGTGCAATACTTGAGTAAGTTTTGAAATGATCGTCTTGAATTAGATGGAAATTTCCTATCGAGAACAGAGGAACGAAAAGGTAAATAAACTAAGCTGAGCGTAACTACGCGTAAGTTAGAACAGTCGGCACCACATGCAATGGATAAGAATTTGAAAATTTTCACTTAATGCACTTTTCAACATCACTTCTGTACTTTCAAATTAACACTTTTTAAAAATGAGATTGTAAATTTATAACATTTTCACTAGAACAAAAACGACGCAGCAAAACAAAAACACGTCATTTTTGCAGCGCGGCCTACTTCGATCGGTCCATCATTTGTGACACAGGTGTTACAAAACTTCCATTGGATCTATTGATGTAAATTATTTGAGTTTATCAGAAATTCGATTATGAGACATCTTTAGATTCACTTTTTGCAGCCTTCGGTCAGGCTGAGGTTATTGATTTAATTTTGCAGCCCTTCGATGATGCAAAATCTTTTAATTTATATTTTAATGATTCATTTGTTCAGTCCTTGTTCAGGCTAGATCTATTGGATTCAATTATATAAGTTTATTTTCAGCCTTTCGATGGCGGAAAATCTTTAGATTCATCTTTTTTCAGCCTTCGTTCAGTTTGAGTTTATTTATTAAAATTTATTTTCAGCCCTCCGATAATAGAACTTCTTAGATTTCTATTATACACCCGTATTCTCGTTTTCGTTCGAGGCATGTTTTCCATACAATAAAAATAAATTATTTGCGTTTATCTCCTTAATTGCGATTTGAGGGGTTGGGGGTTTGAAATGTTTAATCGCGCTCATCTCCTTAATTTAAGCCTAAATCGCGATTTGAGGGGTGTTCTGTATTCAAAATCTTTAATCGAGCTTATCTCCTTAATTTAGGCCTAAATTGTGATTTTTAAGTCGAGTTGATGAAGGGTGGAAGTATTTGTGCGTTAATTTTGTTGGTATAGAAATAACAACAATAAGCTTTTTTTTTAATGTGTTTTATTTTAAACGGTGAACTTGGAAGAGCGATTGATCTTAAGCTTATGAAACATGGAGGGCAGCTAATTACAGATCATTCGGATCAGATCCTTTCCAGTTATTTGCTTAAATTTAATTCAATCGTTACCAAATAACGTTTCAAAAATTTAATCGAGGAGCTAGCTGCCACTTCTGTTTACTGACTAGCAGATGGTCTGTTTAAGACGTGTTGATCGGAAATCCATATCAGATCCTTCTCAAGAGCAGTTGTTGTCGTCGTCTCTGAGGTCGCCGCCGGGACCGAAAACTAGTAACAGCAAGTTGAACGGGAACTTGATCGTAATTTTGTAATGATACAAGGAGCTCGGTGACCTAGCGGCGATTGATTTTGTTTACTGAGCAGAAAATCATGGGTTCAATCCCAAGCTCCTTATTGTAGAGTTATACTTTAAATCGGGTGTTTTTCATAATGTAAAGCGTAAAGAAACTCGGTTGGAGGGCCGGGTACGTAAAAGAAATAATATTTGAGTTTCAGAAAAGACGTGTTGATCGGACATCTATATCAAACCCTTCTCTAGAGCAGTTGTTCTCGTGGTCGATGAGGTCGCCGCCGGGATCAAAATCTTTTAACAACAAGTTGAACGGAAACTTGATCGTAATTGTTTTGTGATATAAGGAGCTCGGCGGCATAGTAGTGACCAATTTTGCTTACTGAGCAGAAGACCGTTTATCGTTTACCAAAACGAATCATGCTGCGATCCCAACCCTTTTATCCAGCATCCCAATAATTTCTCGTGGAAGTGCAGAGGTGTTCTCGGCTTTCATTAAAACGAGTTTTACGTCAACATATTCCTACCCATTCCTTTCTTGACCAGCATTCGGACGTGGCCGGCGCTGGTATTGCCTAGTTTTAGATCATCAGCATTTACACATTGAAGATGGTTACTAGCCCCAAGTCTATCAGTTCTCTGTGTAATTACAGCTGGTCTGGCAGTAACGGAGTTGCATTCACGGGCGGTCATTTATGCTGTATGCTGTATACATTTTGAACAACTAAAAGAACCAACCACATAAACATTTGTACCGACCAATCGCGGTCCTACGTCAACCTTCCGTTCGTGTCCCTAGGTAGACTCTTCTACTTTTTGTTGAGCTTGTCATAATTTACTAAGTATTATTTATCCTGAGAATTTCCTTTGAATTCTCCTTTCAATCTCCATGAAGTTCTCCTCAAAATTACTATGTAATTAAACTCATAACTTCTTGGCCTCCCTTCGCTCAGTCGGTAAAGGCGCAGTTACAAAGCAAGACCATGCTGGAGGTGGCTGGGTTCGATTCCCGGTCCGGTCTAGGAATTTTTCGGGTTGGAAAATTTCTTGACTTCCTTGGGCATAGAGTATGATTGTACTTGTTACACAATAATACTAATGCAAAAATGGTACAGGCATCGAAAGCTCTCAATTAATAACTGTGGAAGTGCATCTAGAACACTAAGTTGAGAGCACGCAATAAGCTAAAATGCAATAAGCATTAAGCTTGAAATACGAAGAAGAAGAAGAAGAATTTATTTGCAATTATTCATAGAATTCAACTGAAGTTCTCCTCACAAAGTTTATGGAGTTCTCTTCAGTATCGATTCCCATAAGAGCAGAATTCCCTTGGAGCTCCCTCTTCAGCATTCCGTTGGAATTTAGAGAAATCCCATCAAGATTCTCTTCACAATTAATTGTCCAGGGCCCAAAACCATGATTCTCATTTCAAATATTGTGCAATTTTGTCTAAGTTCGATATCTTGAACTTAATCTTGAACATATTTCTATTTCTGGAGGGAACCTTAGAGAAAATTTATTTCAATCTTGGAGTATACATTTTTCAAGATTCTTTAACTCGATAACATTCTGAAAATTTATTGTGTTACAGAACTGGAAGGGAACGGGCATCCACTTTTCCTCCCTATCCACATCTGGCTGGTGTTGCCGATGTCATGGATTAATTGGCAGTGGAATAAATTGCGTGTAGAAGTTGCTAAGTACACACTTATTCTGGTTTTAGTTAGGTACCAGAATTTATTAGCTTCTAACCGTTTAGTCATTACGTATTGAACCGAAGTTGCGCTCGGAAGAGTACTTATTTTGTTTTCAGTTTCTCGCTTGTTTCGTTTCTGCATTTGTCAATTGCTGCATGCAGTGCTGCTGGGAAAAAAAATCATCACTTCTGCAGGGTGGCCAGCGAACTGAGAAAACCAGAAAATAACCGGGAATTTGAAAGGAAGTCGGGAAAACCAGGAAAAAGCCGGTAATTTGACGGGAGAACTGGGATA